CCGACCTGTCCTAAGAAACCAGGCCTTAAGAAATTGGAGGAGGTTAAGCTTGTCTTTTAAACCGGACAAGCCCAGACTTGATGCAATTGTAGCCTTCCGTTTATCCACGGGCAATGATTGTCTCTCTGCCCATCTTTCATAGTATAGGCCTTTCTGCCACGCCTTTTTGTCCACTTTGTGATACTGGAGAAGAAATGGGCACGAGCCACTTGCTCAGGGATGGCCCTAGACATTTTGGCGCTCGGGCAAAACCTTAATTTTGCGCCCCCGCCCCCCGTTTTTTTTTTAGGTAAATCTCATGCGACCATATCAGAAAGTCAAGAAAGCATTGAAAAAAAAATATTAAGAAAACGTTTTATTAAAAACTCAATCATCAGATAACAAGATAAGCAATTTAGCACTTAAGGCAAAATAACAAAAATTAAAGTGTAGTAATGCAAACTAAACTAATATCCCATATTATAAATAAATTCTAACAAACCAAAGTAATTAAAATGCCCTTTTTCTAACTTTTCTTTCGGCAAACTCACGAACCAGTGATTTCAAGTCTAATTTGTCACTAATTTGGCGTTCTATAGCTATCATTGCCAATCCATTGAGACGATTTTGCGCCAGCATCGTTCTGAGATAATTTTTTATTATTTTTTGTTTTGAAAAGCTTCTTTCCCCTGAAGCCACAGTGACTTGCAATGTAAGTAGGATTCTTAATGCTATGCTGAGGTTTGGTGCGAATTTAAGTGTAGCGATAAACTTGAGAACTTCAACAGGGGTTTCCTTTTTTGTTAATAATGACAAAACAATGCTTATTTCATCGGCTAGTTCCAAGGCGTAAAGATCGCTTGAATTTCCATCAGTTAAAACTTCTTCCAAATCTTTGCAATGAGCCAGTAGCTCATTTCTGGGCATGTCTTTTAGACCAAAAATATTATACAAAAAGCTGAAATAATTACTGTGAGTATTTAGCAAATTATATCTGGTTTCCAAGGCATTTATTGCTTGATCTATAGTGTGAAAAAAAATCTATTTTATATTTTTGTTTGAGGTCTTGAACGGGTTCATCCGGGCCCTCATACAAAAACGTACGTGTTTTGCTTCTGACACGATGACGTGGTGTGGTGGTTTCGAAATTAGCTTCCACGTCAATCTCTGAAGAAAGCTCGATTGCTTCTAAAATGATGCTTTCAAAAGTTTCATCTGATCTCAGGTTTTCAAAGAAGAGTTTGCAGTTGCTAAGCATATCAATAGCTTGTGACATATCAAAATTTACAGTTTGTAAAAGTTTGCTGGTGGGGTTAATATGACTCAAAAGTTTGTACCAGATCACAACCGATCTAATTTTTGAAATCCCCCCCTTGTGCGCCACTGGCTTAAAGAAATAAAATGCATTTTATTCAATTACAGACTCAATTACCATTAGATACCACACAAGCCATGTTTTGATCTAAACTCTAATTTTTGAAATCCCCCCCTTGTGCGCCACTGGCTTAAAAAAATAAAATGCATTTTATTCAACTCCAGACTCAATTATCTTTCATTTGATACCATACAAGCCATGTTTTGATCTAAACTCTAATTTTTGAAATCTACCCCCACCCTTTTTTTTTGGCTTATGTCTGATGGATTTTATTCGTTTTTAAAAATGAAAACAAAAATGAAAACACTTACCTTCATAGAAACCAAACGCACTGGACAATTTGCACAAGCACTTTTTTGCACTAACAATTTAAACAAACTATTTTATTTCGCACCAGCCGAAGTCTAGTGGCAAATAATGCATTGTTTAAAGTCTACTTCCTTTTTATATGCAGTGAAAAAGGGCTGTTAGATCTTGTTTCGCTTGATTTCAAAATTGTTGTTTCCTGTACAGTCGTGTTGTCACGGGCCGAAAAACTTGTCAATTCTTGAAAGGCGGTGGTTGAGTGGTTTTGTCATGTTGAATTAAATTCAACTAGATTTTGCCTTAATGTTTAAACATATATTATTTGAATCATGTGCTTAGAAATAAAAATGATAAATTCCACCTGCCGCCTC